TTATGGGGTATTGGGTGTAGATTGATGAGGGGGGAAAAAAACTATTTTAATCAATTTTAGAATAAGGCTGTAACCTAACAAAATGTGGAAAATGTCAAGGGGTCTGAATACTTTCCGAAGGCACTGTATATATTTGTGAACAGCCATCCACAACAACCACAATCTGTAAGGCGCAAATAGCGAAATGAGAGAGCAGCAGTTCACATCAATGCGCTATGTACAGTTGAAGTCGGAAGTTTACATACACCTTAGCCAAATACATTTAATCCTAGTAAAAATTCCCTGTCTTAGGTCAGTTAGGATCACCACTTTATTTTAAGAATATGAAATGTCAGAATAATAGTAGAGAGTGATTTATTTCAGCATTTATTTCTTTCATCACATTCCCAGTGGGTCAGAAGTTTACATACACTCAATTAGTATTTGGTAGCATTGCCTTTAAATTGTTTTAACTTGGGTCAAACGTTTCGGGTAGCCTTCCACAAGCTTCCCACAATAAGTTGGGTGAATTTTGGCCCATTCCTCCTGACAGAGCGGGTGTAACTGAGTCTGGTTTGTAGGCCTCCTTGCTCGCACACGCTTTTTCAGTTCTGCCCACAAATTGTCTATAGGATTGAGGTCAGGGCTTTGTGATGGCCACTCCAATAACTTGACTTTGTTGTCCTTAAGCCATTTTGCCACAACTTTGGAAGTATGCTTGGGGTCATTGTCCATTTGGAAGACCCATTTGCGACCAAGCTTTAATTTCCTGACTGATGTCTTGAGATGTTGCTTCAATATATCCACATAATTTTCCTTCCTCATGATGCCATCTATTTTGTGAAGTGTACCAGTCCCTCCTGCAATAAAGCACCCCCACAGCATGATGCTGCCATCCCCGTGCTTCACGGTTGGGATGGTGTTCTTCGGCTTGCAAGCAACCCCCTTTTTCCTCCAAACATAACGATGGTCATTATGGCCAAACAGTTCTATTTTTGTTTCATCAGACCAGAGGACGTTTCTCCAAAAAGTACGATCTTTGTCCCCATGTGCAGTTGCAAACCGTAGTCTGGCTTTTTTATGGCGGTTTTGGAGCAGTGGCTTCTTCCTTGCTGAGCTGCCTTTCAGGTTATGTCGATATAGGACTCGTTTTACTGTGGATATAGATACTTTTGTACCTGTTTCCTCTAGAATCTTCAGAAGGTCCTTTGCTGTTTTTCTGGGATTGATTTGCACTTTTCGCACCAAAGTACATTCATCTCTAGGAGACAGAACACGTCTCCTTCCTGAGCGGTATGACTGCTGCGTGGTCCCATGGTGTTTATACTTGCGAACTATTGTTTGTACAGATGAACATGGTACCTTCAGGCGTTTGGAAATTGCTCCCAAAGATGAACCAGACTTGTGGAGGTCTACAATTTTTTTTCTGAGGTCTTGGCTGATTTCTTTAGATTTTCCCATGATGTCAAGCAAAGAGGCACTGAGTTTGAAGGTAGGCCTTGAAATACATCCACAGAAACACCTCCAATTGACTCAAATGATGTCAATTAGCCTATCAGAAGCTTCTAAAGCCATGCCATCATTTTCTGGAATTTCCCAAGCTGTTTAAAGGCACAGTCAATTTAGTGTATGTAAACTTCTGACCCACTGGAATTGTGATACAGTGAATTATAAGTGAAATAATCTCTGTAAACAATTGTTGCAAAAATTACTTGTGTCATGCACAAAGTAGATGTCCTAACCGACTTGCCAAAACTATAGTTTGCAAGCAAGAAATTTGTGGAGTGGTTGAAAAATGATTTTTAATGACTTCAACCTAAGTGTATGTAAACTTCCAACTTCAACTGTAGATATCAATAATAAGTGATATCATTATCGCGCGTAGGCTACACCACTGCTGTTGCCGTTACCTCCAACCAAGCGTTTATTCAAGTTGGATAGTCTTTGGATGCCGACAGCAGTCACACCATTGGAAGACATAGCTTCAAAAGCATATTCCTGCTCTTTTCCCGCGGTCCATCAAACGCATTTAGTGTTTCATCGTAGTGGTCTCTGACTTGTGGGCGGACTCGCACAGGCGGAACAAACGTACATTTGCGCATTTCTTCCATTTTGAATGTTATTGAGAAATTACAAAAATATAAATGCATTATGCAACAATTTCAAAGCTTTTACTGAGTTACAGTTCATATAAGGAAATCAGTCCATTTGAAATAAATTCATTAGGCCCTAATCTATGGATTTCACATAAATGGGAATACAGATATGCATATGTTGGTCACAGATATCTTTAAAACAAAAAAAGGTAGAGGCGTGGATCAGAAAACCAGGCAGTATCTGGTGTGACCACCATTTGCCTCATGCTTCGTGACACATCTCCTTCACATAGACATAGAGTTGATCAGGCTGTTGATTGTGGCCTGTTGAATGTTGTCCCACTCCTCTTCAATGGCTGTGCGAAGTTGCTGGATATTGGCGGGAACTGGAACACGCTGTCGTACACGTTGATCCAGAGCATCCCAAACATGCTCAATGGGTGAGATGTCTGGTGAGTATGCAGGCCATGGAAGAACTGGGACATTTTCAGCTTCTAGGAATGGTGTACAGATCCTTGCGACATGGGGCCATGCATTATCATGCTGAAACATGAGGTGATGGCGGCGGATAAATGGCACGACAATGGGCCTCAGGATCTCGTCACAGTATCTCTGTGCATTCAAATTGCCATCGATAAAATGCAATTGTGTTCGTTGTCCGTAGCTTATGCCTGCCCATACCATAACATCACCGCCACCATAGGGCATTTTGTTCACAACGTTGATATCAGCATACCCACATGACGCCATGCACGCTGTCTGCCATCTGCCCGGTACAGTTGAAACCGGGATTCATCCGTGAAGAGCACGCTTCTCCAGCTTGCCAGTGGCCATCGAAGGTGAGCATTTACCCACTGAAGTCGGTTACGACGCCGAACTGCAGTCAGGTCAAGACCCTGGTGAGGACGAAGAGCATGCAGATGCGCTTCCCTGAGACTTTCTGACAGTTTGTGCAGAGATTCTTTGGTTGTGCAAACCCACAGATCCATCAACTGTCTGGATGGCTGGTCTCAGATGATCCAGCAGGTGAAGAAGCCGGATGTGTAGGTCCTGGGCTGGCGTGGTTACACGTGGTCTGCGGTTGTGAAGCTGGTTGGACATACTGCTAAATTCTCTAAAATGACGTTGGATGCGGCTTATGGTAGAGAAATGAACATTACATTTTCTGGCAACAGCTCTGGTGGACATTCCTCCAGTCAGCATGCCAATTGCACGCTCGCTCAAAACTTGAGACATCTGTGGCATTGTGTTGTATGACAAAACTGCACATTTTAGAGTGGGTTTTTAGTGTCCCCAGCACAAGGTGCACCTGTGTAAAGATCATGCTGTTTAATCAGCTTCTTGACATGCCACACCTGTCACGTGGATGGATTATCTTGGCAAAGGAGAAATGCTCACTAATGGGGATGTAAACAAATTTGTGCACACAATTTGAGATAAATAAGCTTTTTGTGCATAAAGACATTTTCTGGGATATTTTATTTCAGCTCATAAAACATGGGACCAACACTTTACATGTTGCGTTTTATATAAAACATTTTTGTAGAAAGGTGTCAGATTTTTCTCCACAAACATACTTTGTTAATTTAAAAGTAATCCAGAAGTAATCTAGTTTTTCAAACGTATCTGTAATCTGATTACAATATTTTAGCTGGTAACGTAACTGATTAGTTCGTTAAAAAAAAAAAAATCTGTTACATGTAACGGATTACATGTATGTGCGCACGGACAACACGTGTGTGTACCAGCAGCTCCTGTGGTTTCACATGCGATTGTAGATGCATAAAATGAGTATGTGTTTTGCATGTGTACCTCTCTGTGTGTTAGTGTCATTATCTGTGAGTGCTGTCACAGTGATTGTGCATGTTTTAAAGTGCAACGATTTCCCCTGTACCTTGCCCTCTTCTTTCTTTGGCAATTTGAGTGAGTGATGAATCCCCTGTTGCCTGACTGAAAGCCTGTAGTGTACCCTAGTCCAATTCACCTGTGGGGATTTGTCATGGTACACACACTGCTACAACAGTGTGGGCATCTGCTATCACACACACTGACACAAACACGCCTCCCCCACCTACACAGCCAAGAATAACATTCCTCTTCCTTCCTGCCAGAAGCATCAGCTATAGCATGCCCACACGGTCATTATCTCTGAGGTCCTTAAACACACACATCACACAAACAGGCAGACATGGATCTCCATCAGCATAGATTAACCATTTAGTCCGTTTTTGTGTATACATGATTTATTAAAGATGCACTATGCAGAAATTGATCCGCCATTTCCTGGTTGCTAAAATTTGAATAGTTCGGCTAATTTCAGTTTATGTGGCAAAACAAGCAAGTATAGTATAGAGAATCATTGTACCATCTAAACCGTTGTGTAATATATTTTCCATAACCAAAAATATTGTATTTTCAGCTGCTTGAAGCCAGTGTTCAAAACCGAAAGTAAAAGAGCCAAAAACTAAACTTAAGAATGGGAAGCATGGAACAGATCTACCTCTTCTTAGACTTGCTTTCAATGTGAATGACAGATCTATAAGTCACATTTCTATGTGGATTTGGTCAGGTCACCCCAAAAATGTATGTGTCAGGCTGCATGTGTTTTGCCAGAGGTAGCAAGGGAGTAATGCTGTGTAACTGGGTTAGAGCAGGCACAGCAGTGTTGTTTAGACAGAGGCCCTAGGTGCTCCCAATCTGTCAGCTAGCCTCTCACTGCTTCTGTCCTCTATTATACTGTATTTAAACACAGACACACACACACACAGACACACAGACCACTCACACAGTCTCCCGACTCTGCTTAGAATAACAGAACTTGGCTCGATGGTTGGATGGAAGAATGCTTTGCAAATTTCACTGAGACATACATTATGAATGATATTAAGACATGTCCTACCATATCGATCTCTGTGTCTCCTAGACTGGTTCCGGCCCTTGAGGCAGCACAGAGGCCCCTTACATAGGCAGCAGCAGTATGAGTGAGGGCGAGGGCCAGTTCTACAGTGTGCAGGTGGGAGACTCCACCTTCACTGTGCTGAAGCGCTACCAGGAGCTCAGGGCCATCGGCTCCGGGGCACAGGGCATCGTCTGGTAAGACAACCATGATGTAGACGTGCAATATGCCCTCTAATAGGCTAAGTGGAAGTTTCACCATATTGTTTATACCAATTTAAATCCTCTCATATCTCCACAAGTGCATTCCATTTGGGATTGGGCCATAGGTTGGGAAGTCCTAGAACTAGGCTAGCTACTGTTTACTGTTCTCTATTCTACAGGAATGAAAGCCTTGATCTATCATGAGTCATGGCACATATTTTACGCTCCCTGTCTTTCCATCCTCCCTTTACCTCCACCTCTCTCTCTTCCCTTTTCACCCTTCTCCCCCCCCCCCCCCCCCCCCACCCTCTCTCCAGCTCTGCTCTGGACTCTGTGTTAGCTATTCCCGTGGCAGTAAAGAAGCTGTGTCGGCCATTCCAGAACCAGACTCATGCCAAGCGGGCCTACAGGGAACTGGTGCTGCTCAAATGTGTCAACCACAAAAACGTATGGCACACTATAACAAGCTACTGTTTGAATGCCCTCTGCCCTGTCTATTGAGCTGATTGTCTATTTTAAGCTGACACATGCCATATGTTGCAAAAATAATTACCTAATAGATACAATAAAGTAATCATCAGTAATACCTTGATATTACGTTTCATTACCTGTTTTATATCCAATATTCTATTAATAATATATAATCTATTCAGATGATGAGTGGTGTCTCTCTGTCTGCCTGTCCTCAGATTATCAGGCTGATCAATGTGTTCACGCCTCAGAAGTCACTGGAGGAGTTTCAGGACCTGTAAGTCTTCTTGTACCCGTGATCTTCTTTCTTTTATCGTTGAGTAGTCCTTTGCTACATTCCAATGCACATTCTACGTGTAGTATACGAGTGTGGACATTGAAACAGAGCCCTAGTCTTCAACTACAATCCAGATTGATACAGTAGTACCCATAGGTTTGCTGATAGACGTTCTCGCCAATCTTCTAATACTCAATCTCTGCTTGTTCTAATATACACTACCGGTCAAAAGTTTTAGAACACCTACTCATCCAAGGGTTTTTCTTTATTTTTACCTTTTTCTACGTTGTAGAATAATAGTGAAGACATCAAAACTGTGAAATAACACATATTGAATCATGTAGTAACCAAAAAAGTGTTAAACAAATCAAAATATATTTTATATTTGAGATTCTTCAGAGTAGCCACCCTTTGCCTTAATGACAGCTTTGCCCAGAGTTACCTCTGCTGCAGAGGATAAGTTGATTAGAGTTACCAGCCTCAGAAATTGCAGCCCAAATAAATGCTTCACAGAGTTCAAGTAACAGACACATCTCAACATCAACTGTTCAGAGGAGACTGCGTGCATCAGGCCTTCATGGTCGAATTGCTGCAAAGAAACCACTGCTAAAGGACACCAATAAGAAGAAGAGACTTGCTTGGGCCAAGAAACACGAGCAATGGACATTAGACCGGTGGAAATGTGTCCTTTGGTCTGGAGTCCAAATTGGAGATTGTTGGTTCCAACCGCCGTGACATTGTGAGACGTGGTGTGGGTGAACAGATCTCTGCATGTGTATTTCCCACCGTAAAGCATGGAGGAGGAGGTGTTATGGTGTGGGGTTGCTTTGCTGGTGACACTGTGATTTATTTAAAATTCAGGGCGCACTTAACCATTATGGCTACCACAGCATTCTGCAGCGATACGCCATCTCATCTGGTTTGGCTTAGTGGGACTATCATTTGTTTTTCAACAGGACAATGACCCAACACACCTCCAGGCTGTGTAAGGGCTATTTTACCTAGAAGGAGAGTGATGGAGCGCTGCATCAGATGACCTGGCCTCCACAATCCCCCGACCTCAACCAAATTAAGATGGTTTGGGTTGAGTCGGACCGCAGAGTGAAGGAAAAGCAGCCAACAAGTGCTCAGCATACAGTTGAAATCTGAAGTTTACATACAATTAGGTTGGAGTCATTTAAAACTAGTTTTTCAACCACTCCACAAATGTATTGTTAACAAACTATAGTTTTTGCAAGTCGGTTAGGACATCTACTTTGTGCATGACACAAGTATTTTTTCCAACAATTTTTTATTTCACTTATAATTCACTGTATCACAATTCCAGTGGGTCAGAAGTTTACTAAGTTGACTGTGCCTTTTAAACAGCTTGGAAAATTCCAGAAAATGATGTCATGGCTTTAGAAGCTTCTGATAGGCTAATTGACATAATTTGAGTCAATTGGAGATGTACAGTGGGGGGAAAAAGTATTTAGTCAGCCACCAATTGTGCAAGTTCACCCACTTAAAAAGATGAGAGGCCTGTAATTTTCATCATAGGTACACGTCAACTATGACAGACAAAATGAGGAAAAAAAATCCAGAGAATCACATTGTAGGATTTTTTATGAATTTATTTGCAAATTATGGTGGAAAATAAGTATTTGGTCAATAACAAAAGTTTCTCAATACTTTGTTATATACCCTTTGTTGGCAATGACACAGGTCAAACATTTTCTGTAAGTCTTCAAGGTTTTCACACACTGTTGCTGGTATTTTGGCCCATTCCTCCATGCAGATCTCCTCTAGAGCAGTTATGTTTTGGGGCTGTCGCTGGGCAACACGGACTTTCAACTCCCTCCAAAGATTTTCTATGGGGTTGAGATCTGGAGACTGGCTAGGCCACTCCAGGACCTTGAAATGCTTCTTACGAAGCCACTCCTTCGTTGCCCGGGCGGTGTGTTTGGGATCATTGTCATGCTGAAAGACCCAGCCACGTTTCATCTTCAATGCCCTTGCTGATGGAAGGAGGTTTTCACTCAAAATCTCACGATACATGGCCCCATTCATTCTTTCCTTTACACGGATCAGTCATCCTGGTCCCTTTGCAGAAAAACAGCCCCAAAGCATGATGTTTCCACCCCCATGCTTCACAGTAGGTATGGTGTTCTTTGGATGCAACTCAGCATTCTTTGTCCTCCAAACACGACGAGTTGAGTTTTTACTAAAAAGTTCTATTTTGGTTTCATCTGACCATATGACATTCTCCCAATCCTCTTCTGGATCATCCAAATGCACTCTAGCAAACTTCAGACGGGCCTGGACATGTACTGGCTTAAGCAGGGGGACACGTCTGGCACTGCAGGATTTGAGTCCCTAGCAGCGTAGTGTGGTACTGATGGTAGGCTTTGTTACTTTGGTCCCAGCTCTCTGCAGGTCATTCACTAGGTCCCCCTGTGTGGTTCTGGGATTTTTGCTCACCGTTCTTGTGATCATTTTGACCCCACAGGGTGAGACCTTGCGTGGAGCCCCAGATCGAGGGAGATTATCAGTGGTCTTGTATGTCTTCCATTTCCTAATAATTGCTCCCACAGTTGATTTCTTCAAACCAAGCTGCTTACCTATTGCAGATTCAGTCTTCCCAGCCTGGTGCAGATCTACAATTTTGTTTCTGGTGTCCTTTGACAGCTCTTTGGTCTTGGCCATAGTGGAGTTTGGAGTGTGACTGTTTGAGGTTGTGGACAGGTGTCTTTTATACTGATAACAAGTTCAAACAGGTGCCATTAATACAGGTAACGAGTGGAGGACAGAGGAGCCTCTTAAAGAAGAAGTTACAGGTCTGTGAGAGCCAGAAATCTTGCTTGTTTGTAGGTGACCAAATACTTATTTTCCACCATAATTTGCAAATAAATTCATTAAAAATGCTACAATGTGATTTTCTGGATTTTTATTTATCAATTTGTCTGTCATAGTTGACGTGTACCTATGATGAAAATTACAGGCCTCTCATCTTTTTAAGTGGGAGAACTTGCACAATTGGTGGCTGACTAAATACTTTTTTTCCCCACTGTGCCTGTGGATGTATTTCAAGGCCTACCTTCAAACTCAGTGCCTCTTTGCATGACATCATGGGAAAAAATTGTAGACGTCCACAAGTCTGGTTCATCCTTGGGAGCAATTTCCAAACGCCTGAAGGTACCACGTTCATCTGTACAAACAATAGTACGCAAGTATAAACACCATGGGAGCCACCACCACGCAGCCGTCATACCGCTCAGGAAGGAGACGAGTTCTGTCTCCTAGAGATGAACGTACTTTGGTGCGAAAAGTGCAAATCAATCCCAGAACAACAGCAAAGGACCTTGTGAAGATGCTGGAGGAAACCGGTACAAAAGTATCTATATACACAGTAAAACGAGTCCTATATCGACATAACCTGAAAGGCCGCTCAGCAAGGAAGAAGCCACTGCTCCAAAACCGCCATAAAAAAGCCAGACTACGGTTTGCAACTGCACATGGGGACAAAGATCGTACTTTTTGGAGAAATGTCCTCTGGTCTGATGAAACAAAAATAGAACTGTTTGGCCATAATGACCATCGTTATGTTTGGAGGAAAAAGGGGGTTGCTTGCAAGCCGAAGAACACCATCCCAACCGTGAAGCACGGGGGTGGCAGCATCATGCTGTGGTGGTGCTTTGCTTTAGGAGGGACTGGTGCACTTCACAAAATAGATGGCATCATGAGGCAGGAAAATGATGTGGATATATTGAAGCAACATCTGAAGACATCAGTCAGGAAGTTAAACCTTGGTCGAAAATGGGTCTTCCAAATGGACCCCAAGCATACTTCCAAAGTTGTGGCAAAATGGCTTAAGGACAACAAAGTCAAGGTATTGGAGTGGCCATCACAAAGCCCTGACCTCAATCCTATAAAAAATTTGTGGGCAGAACTGAAAAAGCATGTGCGAGCAAGGAGGCCTACAAACCTGACTCAGTTACACCGGCTCTGTCAGTAGGAATGGGCCAAAATTCACCCGACTTATTGTGGGAAGCTTGTGGAAGGCTAAACAATTTAAAGGCAATGCTACCAAATACTAATTGAGTGTATGTAAACTTCTGACCCACTGGGAATGTAATGAAAGAAATAAAAGGTGAAATAAATCATTCTCTCTACTATTATTCTGACAGTTCACATTCTTAAAATAAAGTGGTGATCCTAACTAATCAAATGTCAGGAAAGCATTCCAGGTGAAGCTAGTTGAGAGAATGCCAGGAGTGTGCAAAGCTGTCAAGGCAAAGGGTGGCTATAAAATATATTTTGGTTTGTTTTAACACTTTTTGGGTTACTACATGATTCCATATGTGTTATTTCATAGTTTTGATGTCTTCATTATTATTCTACAATGTAGAAAATAGTAAAAATAAAGAAACCCTTGAATGAATAGGTGTTTTAAAACTTTTAACAGGTAGTGCATGTCCTCCTCTTCTCCTTCCCTCTCCCCGTCTCTGTGCCAGCTACCTAGTGATGGAGCTAATGGATGCCAGTCTGTGCCAGGTGATCCACATGGACCTGGACCATGAGAGGATGTCCTACCTGCTTTACCAGATCCTCTGTGGCATCAGACACCTGCACTCCGCTGGCATCATCCACAGGGTGAGGAGCACACACACCTGCGCACTCTCACACACTTGCATGAATGCATCACACACACATACACACCAGCATACACACTTTGACTAAATACGCTCTATCCCTCTCTCTCTCACTATAGGACCTGAAGCCCAGTAACATAGTGGTGAAGTCAGACTGTACTCTCAAGATCCTGGACTTTGGATTGGCCAGAACGGCCTGCACCAACTTCATGATGACCCCTTATGTGGTGACCAGGTACTACAGGGCCCCAGAGGTCATCCTGGGCATGAAGTACAAGGAGAACGGTAAGAGGGAACAAGGCTATTTCCCCTGTAGTGCATTCCCCTTGACCCTATGGCTCTGGTTAAAAGTAGTGAACTTAGGAAATAGTGTCGTTTAGGACACAGCCTAGTATACAGTATGTCTCTGTATCTGCATGCTACTAATCTGACTAACCCACTAACACGTCCTGGGTCTTGTGTGTATTGTGTACCACTGAACAGAGATGTCCCATTCCAAAAGGTGCATATCTGTTAGAGTAGGTTAGAGTGATTGGAATTCCTCACAGCGCTGTCAGTAGCCACAAAGAACAACCTGGTTACAACCTGCAATAACAAATTGCAGAAGAATTTCAAAAGGAGGTTGGTTTTAAAATGGAGTGCTGTTGGTCATGTTTGGTGTGTCCAAGGACCTTGAAGGGTTGGATGAATATTTTTATTGATCATAGTTATTGATTCTACTAAACTATCATGGTGGCTGATCAAGGTTCGAGAACAGTGACTGATCATGCTTTTCTGATCATACCGATTTGATCATGTTCATCGATCACATGTATTGATCATGTTTATATTGATGGTTGTTGAATGTTGATGGTTCTGTGCTGCTCTGCAGTTGACCTGTGGTCTGTTGGCTGCATCATGGCTGAGATGATTGCACACAAAATCCTCTTCCCTGGAAAAGACTGTATCCTTTTCGTGTGTGTATGAGAGAGCGTGCGCTCCACTTATGACATATCACTCTGATAGAATTTGTATGTAGCAGTGTTACATACTGAATGGTATTCCATTTATCTTTTTGTTTATTATCAAACCTACTTCCTGTGTAGGAAGTAAAGGCACATTTTTCCAGTGCATTAGAAGTTTCCAATTGACCTTATCAGAGAAAATACCTCTAAGTCATCATAGGGCTGAAATACAGGAAAGGGGGGAGGAGTAGAAGACCATTTGTTAAAAGCACATAGTCCAAAGCAAATACTACCCACGCACTGACCACATCACATCCTATGATCCTATTTTACCAGCTACACACACGTTAGCCGGAAATAGCTGGCATTTGGCCATTTTTTGTTTCAAAACAAATTCAGCTGGTAAGCAAAATTGGCGGCAGCCTATTGTCTGGGAGAAAATAAAAATCCCATTGCGAAATAATGTTTTTTTCGACTATTCGCAGTGGTGGAAAAGGACCCAATTGTCATACTTGAGTAAAAGTAAAGATACCTTTTTAATAGAAAATTACTCAAGTGAAAGTCACCCAGTAAAATACTACTTGAGTAAAAGTCTAAAAGTATTTGGTTTTAAATATACTTAAGTATCAAAAGTAAAAGTATAAATAATTTCACATTACTTATATTAAGCAAACCAGACGGCACCATTTTTTATTTTTATTTACGGATAGCCAGGGGCACACTCCAACACTCAGACATCATTTACAAACGAAGCATTTGTGTTTAGTGAGTCTGCCAGATAAGATGCAGTAGGGATGACCAGGGATGTTCTCTTGGTGTGTGTGAATTGGACCATTTTCCTGTCCTGCTAAGCATTCAAAATGTAACCAGTACTTTTGGGTGCTAAGGAAAATTTATGGAGTAAAAAGTACATTATTTTCTTTAGTAATGAAGTGAAGTAAAAGTAAAAGTTGTCAAAATATAAATAGTTAAGTACAGATACCCCCAAAAAACTACTTAAGTAGTACTTTAAAGTATTTTTACTTAAGTACTTTACGCCACTGCCTATTCGTTGACGTAAATACATTTGACAAGTCATGCTTATCGGTCTATGGGTTAATTTGCATAATTTAGAGGAATTAAATTGGCGACTGTGTATGTTCGTTATGTATCTTATTTATTACACGTGACAGATACAGAGCCTTTGAGCGGAAAATCTGTCAGACAGCGTTTTTATAAGCCCAATCATTGCGCAACAATTCTAAATGCAATCATGTGTTAAAAATAGTTTTGTGGCCACGATTAAAAATAGCTATTTTTATTTCTCAACTGGTAATTGAAGCGCGCTTCCCATTCACCATTCAAATGCATCGGCAACAGAAGGCAGGCTTCATCAGCGCGTCACACACCACTTTGCAATGAGCTGGAAGCAGTATGCATTTTGAAAACATTGCTACTTAATTGTTTGAAACCTGAACGTTTTACTACATATTATGAGGCATGTTTTACCTTGCTTCAAAGTAGCCCAGGCATATGCCATTGAAACCAGAAGCCTATTTCTCTCATGTTCTATTGGTTTTATATTTTCTTTCATTGTCCAGAGCCAAATGCACATTTGCGCGTAGCCTTGTGCACGTTACTGCGCTAATTATGTGAAGAAATAATACTTTACATTTTAAGCTAAACGTTCTTATCTGTTGCATCAGATTCATTGCTTTAAAAAAATATATTTGTAGCCTAGGCCTACTTGTTGAATGAATTTGGGATCTATTGTCCCACAACTGTCCCAGGTTCTGTTTGGGCTATTTATTTCTCGACAAGCTGACCAATTGAATAGTTCAACTTATCTACTATGGGGAACAGTAGATTGACATAGGCTCATAGGCGGCGCATCCATAAGGCTAGGGGAAGCTGTCACTTAAATTGCCCAAATTATATAGCCTAATTAGCCTACTCCTGTCTATACAGAAATACATGCCCAGCCAGGCATATCGCAATATTTCAAAATTCAATCGTGAGAAAACATAGTTTGGAAAGCAAATAGCTATTGCTGTAAAGACAAGACAATGAAAATCTGTCTTTTAGTAACCAAATTCTCAACTTAATTGAGCGAACAACAGTAGGCCTATGGCCTATCTTATTAGCACTAGCGGAGAGTGCACTTATTCACTCATTATTCACTCTTTATCATTGTTCGGTCAGTGCCACTTAAAAGTTCATTTTTGGACAGTAATTTCCTCCTCCAGTTTAGATGGATGTCATATTCTACTTGTGTCTCCCCTTCTCGTAGGCCTATTATATGGACAACGTTGTTTTATTGATCCATTTGTCAGTGTCAGCAGAGTAGGCTACCCTGTAATTTGTCATATATAAAAAGATTCTGCTAGTGTCTCCAGTCATATGAAGTGTAGTAGAATTGCATGAAATTTGTTTTTACCATGCAAAGAAAGAAGAAATGTAGCCTATAGGCCAGGTCTCTACGATATGCATTGAATGGTATTTTTTGCGAAAAGTGACTGCCTTATATTATTAGCCTAATTTATGACTATCCAATCTATTAATCACATTATGCATAGTAGGCTATCTTTAAATATGTCTGCAAATGCGATGATGCATGCAATGCCTTATTATAAAGGTGCATTTTTATGGTGAAAATGTGCTTTCCCAAACTTGAAACTCATGCATAGGCTAGTGATTTTGCTGTTCGTTACTTGTTTTGTTGGCTGAGGGAAAAGTAAATGTGGACAGTTATTCTAACATCTTCAAAGTGCACGGTAAGGACACACGTGATTGCATCCTCGACTTGCATGTTCTGTTAAGATTCATTACCGTAATCTAAATGATGCCCTAATCAGGTTACGCACTCAATGCGTATTGGTCTGGTACATTTCTCAAATGTCCGGTAAATTAAACTGCTGCAGGTCAATTGTCCTGTGCCACGTTTTTGTAATGGAAACCCTGGTACACACACACACAGAAACAGAAACAGCTGTGTAAACTGATAAGCAGTGCTCCTAAGCATGGGAGAGGAGTAAGTTAGTTAGCCTGTCCTTCCCATCCTAATGAGAGAGAGCTCTCTGGATGGAAACAGCCTGGAGTATGTCACTAATCCTGCATTTGAAGCATTTCATAACTCTAAAGCATTATTCTGCCTTTAACGTATCATAATTTAACCACTTTGCCATCTGTCTGTCTATGATTTTGATGATTTGTGTTATAAAGACAACCAACCATATGTTTGAACCGTGTGTGTTCATGTTTGTTTTCGTTTTCTTCATGTTCCCAGTGGACATCTGGTCAGTGGGGTGCATCATGGGAGAAATGGTGAAGGGCAACGTTATCTTCCAGGGCACCGACCGTATCCTTCATCCACCTCTCTCCCACGCTCTCTCTCTTTTTCAATATCTCACTCCTCTTCATCCCTTTCCTCATCCCTCTATCTCCACTCCTTTCTGACACTTGATTCTTCCATTGTCTCCATAAGTATTTATACTTTGGCATGCTGTTTGGTTAGATCCACATGGAGGATTGAGACCAATTTGAGTTTTTCCTCAACCTTCAGTAAATGTCACCTCCATTGATAATGAAAAAAGAACTGGGATGATTAGCATTTCTACTGGCTGCCTGTTTCACTTTTTCTAATGGGCATGGGCCCTTTCTCCCTGTCTCTCTCTCTCTGTCAGACTGTATTTTCTTCACAAATTTTTTGTTGATGTAATACACACACACCCATGTTCTCCTTAACGGTGGTGCCTGTGCAGACATAGACCAGTGGAACAAGGTGATTGAGGTGCTGGGTACTCCCTCCATGGAGTTTATGAACCGGCTGATGGAGACTGTGAGGAACTATGTGATGAACAAGCCTCAGTACCCAGGAGTCAACTTTGCTGAACTATTTCCTGACTGGGCCTTCCCCTCCGACTCTGAACACGACAAACTCAAGAGTAAGACATCTCCCATCTGACCTCGTATCTGTAGTCATTTGTCTTTTCACTTACTGCACAGCTGAGTTCTTAGTTCTTGGTCCTGGAGGGCTCTAGTATTGCAGGCTTTTGCTCCAGCCCATCACTGAGACACCAGTTTCAGCTGACCAAGGCATTAGTGATGAATGGATACGCTGAAATGGGTGTATTAGTGCTGGGCTGGAACAAAATCTCGCTCACATTGTAGCCCTCCAAGAGCAGGAGTGAAGAACACTATCCAGCAATAGGTGTGTTGGTGTATCAAATATATCTAGTTAAAAGCTGGATCAGTAATCTTATCTAACACCTTGTGTGGGCTTCAGCGGTCGCATAGAGACCACAGATCTATCTTAATGAAATGATGTCAAGATAGTCTTGGTTGCTGTAGTAACAGTGCAGTGACGGTGCTGTTTTCTCGTTTCCATGACAGCGGGTCAAGCTCGGGACCTGCTGTCCAAAATGCTGGTGATCGATCCCGAGAGCCGCATCTCTGTGGAAGAGGCCCTGAATCACCCGTATATCCATGTGTGGTACGACCCAGGAGAGGCAGACGCAGTGAGTGGACTGTTCTACATTTTTGAGAGGATGCATATAAAGGGGAATACATTTGTTTGGTCTAATATGTGTGTCACTGTGTTGTGTTGTTGTCTATGTTGTATCTAATAGCCTCCCCCACAGATCTGTGACAAGCAGCTAGAGGAGAGAGAACACAGCATCGAACAGTGGAAAGGTAGGAGGTGGCTCCCTCTAGGGACAGCACTATCACCTGTTCTGATACAGTACATTACCACACACACACACACACACACACACACACACACACACACACACACCGTGTAGATGACTGTACAGGGATGAAACAAATCACTCTTTCTCCTCAGAGCTCATCTATGAAGAATTGATAGACTGGGAGGAGAGGAACAAGAATGGAGTGATGAAAGAAGAGTCAGGTAACTCTTTACACACTACACAGATACAAGATCATATCTTAATGTGTGGGTTGTACTATATAACAAGTCCTCTAGGTCTGTTGTGACTGTGTGTCTGTGACACGGTGGTGAATGTTAGTGGACCGGGCCCCAGGGTTGGGGTTAATTCCACAAATTCATTTGTAATTCAAATTCCAGGTCAGTCTTTGAATTCAGAGATCATTCAATTCTAATGTTATGTAAATTCTAAGAATGAAATTCCCAATTCAATATTATCCCCAATTATTCCACAAATTCCAATTAGAATTCAAATCCCTCAGGCTTTCAGGCTGATCATGTCACTGTTCAGACAGCCTAGCTATAATGGAAATATAGAAATACAAGTTGAAATGTTTTAAAACAAATCCTGCAGTCCATTTTTGATACTAAGTGCATTGATTCCATTAACTGGGAAACATACCAATATTGAATTCCAATTCAATTCCAAAGATTACATTTTTCAAACAGTCTAATTCCAATTAAATTCCATTACTTGAAAGTTGTTGAAATTCAAATTGAATTCAATGTATATTCTCCAATTCATCAGTGTGTTCAAGAATTGAATTGAAATTTCAAATGAAATTGGATTCAACCCCAACCCTGGTGGAACCTTCCTGGTATTAGGGATGGGCATGGTTATTCGCATATTCTAATATTCAAACGGACATTAGTATTCAAACACTTGTGAGTATTCATTTTTGGATACTTTTTTGGGCCTATTTTAACAATGAGAAAGCATTGTTTCAATTAAATTGTCCATGTTAAATTGTTACACACAAGGATAAACCATGACATTTGAAATTCTTAAATAAAATTACAAACTTTAAAATGTAGTGTTTATGTACATGCATTGAGCTACTGCTGCTTCACATGGTTTTGAAAGTAAATAGTTTACAGTTGCGAACGGTATATGAAGCCTACAGTTCTGAGGACGCACAAAATGATTTGTTTTAATTCAAAGCACATTTTCTCTCACATGGGTTATGGGTTGCGTTTACATTCAAAAGCATTTTACTATCATAGCGCATTTAGCCCTCTGGTTGGCGCTGGTATGCTATTTTCCTCACTTCAAATAGCAGTTAGCCTATCGGCGCGCACCAACGGAGGGTCCACAAGACCTGACACAGATCAATGGAAAACCCTCACCAGAAAACTTTTTTTGAAACAGAATCAGTTCTATTATGGTGAACATCAGACTTCTCTTTCACTGTTGCTGTTAGCAGGCTACTGTTAGCCAAAAATACTGGAGAATAGCACCCTGAAAACAACTGCGCACTCTCTGCTGTTGTGGCATTTTGTGTCATTCTGATTGGTCAAGAGAGTCAAGCTTATTTTAAAAAAAAAAAGTAATTGGCTAATGATATTATTTGAATAGTGATAATAATAAAAAATCCATCCCTACCTGGTATATACAGTAGACACCAACCGGTCGATCGCGAAGTCAGCGTGCATGCGCCCGGCCCGCCACAAGAAGTCGCTAGAGAACGATGGGACAAGGACATCCCTGCTGGCCTAACCTGGGCGACGCTGGGCCAATTGTGCACCGCCTCATGGGTCTCCCGGTCGTGGCCGGCTGCGGCACTCAGGAGGCCCCTACTGACGTCATGATTTGACCTAGTTTTTTCCCCCTGAGTTCCCAGTTGTCTTGAAAGCACCATGACCAGCAGATGCAGGTACATAAGTCCAGTAAAATAAAAAAAAAGCAAATTATTAGCAAATTATTTCAATTTATGCTCAGCTGTGCCTCACAAGTGCTACACCAACTGATCTATTTTATTACCAAAGCTTGAGTTTTGAAATATAATATGGTCTGAGAAGAACAATATTGGCAGGCATTTAGCCAATATGCTGTGATAATGTATTAGGCCTACTGTACAAATCTCATTCTTACAGTTTTTATTAGGTTAATGTTACTTTTTTTTTACGTCATGTTATTTTTATTTTTTTCTGACCGGTAGATCTCGGCTTGCGTTTTTACTGCGAAAGTGATCTTGACTCAGAATAGGTTGGTGACCACTGTATTAGGCATACTCTATAGACCCTATATATTCTCTCTCTGTCTGTGTGATAGATGCAGTGAGGGGGTTGGCCTCCCAGTCGTCCTCGGCCAATGACATCTCGTCCATGTCGACAGAGCAAACCCTGGCCTCCGACACTGACAGCAGCAGTATCGACACACTCACTGGACCCCTGGACGAGAGCCAATGAGATCGCACCAGGAAGTGTATATGTTTATCTCTATTCTATCGTGCTTTCTTCTTTCTTCTTTTTTTCTCTTCTCTCTAACTTCCATGCATAGGTCTATTTTTCTAAAGAAAAATTGTGCTATCTTGGACAGGTATAGTTTAGCTGTAACCCCAGAGCAGTGTTTCACTTCTATCCTAAGCCCTATTTTTCTGACTGTGTGTAAGAGGCGCAAGTTACAATATCTATATTGGGTCAATAGCCTTTTTAATGAATATTTAAAGTATTCTGTAATATATTCTTCTATTTTGAATATCAGTCTTGGCAAGGGACTTGATATTTACTTTGCCTACGTTTTTTAATTGGTTTTTGTTTTCAATTAAGGTTATAAAAATGTTGACCTAAAGGCAGGAGTATCATCAGATTTGAACAGCTGCTTTCTGCATGCTACAACGAAACGAACAAAGCTCTGATCACATTATCAAACCATAAAATTTTAATCTGATGATGAACCACTAATCAAATGTTTAGATAGTTTTTAGTTAGGTAGCAGTGTTGAGAACAAGCGAGAGTGGTGCTTGCATTGCATATAGTGTTTTTTAATTAGCTTGAGTGATGTGGATTGGAGCTGTTACTCCTCCTGACCTCCAGGGGTCGCTGTGGCTGCAGTGTTATGGTTTTATTTCCTTATAAATGTACTGTATGTAATAGTATCAAGCTAAAGCTCTGATAATCCATATAGATAGGCATATTTGTTTATGTTAGACATTCAATGTACCCACAGAAGCATCTTCATATAGTACAATCAACCCATTTGCCATAAGGTACATTTGCGAGTACAAAGGAACGGTCCATGTGTTTGTATTTAGTTGTAGTTTTTTTGCTAAATGTTGCACACCACTGACAATATTTGACCCATACAAAACAAGGCCCTTGTCAAGCGTTTTATTGACGATCAAATGCATGGGGTCCTAGCCTCTTATTCTAAACCATTCCTTCAGTACTGGAAATCCTTTGGGGGAAGTCATGACATAAAAAGTACATTTGAAATTCAGCATCTAGAAACGTAGCAACTTAACAAGTTTTGTTTAACTTGCATGGTGGCACATACACTGTACTTTTTTTAGTCTTCTCATGGTTCCTTTAATGGGTTTTGCTTCTTCAAGACAAGGGCAACCACATCAGTAGATGAAGGCCTATATGGACTGAAGGACACTCACACAGTGGTAGAGCACAGCTGTTGGTTTGGAATGTGGACATGTCACATACCTAGTGTGATTCTGGATCTTGAAGTTCTGGAGCAGAACTCTGAGCACAGATAGAACCTTAGAACTAAACAGACTTTTGGTCAAACTGACTGTTGAATGATGGATCTGCACAAACAGAGATAATGTAGTCAGATGAGGACTGTACCCCCAATAGGTTTTCCTTTCAAACCATGACAGCCTTATTCATTCATCATGCCTTAAACGAGTGTCTGGCTCACTCTTTACATCCTATTGGATAAGGACTGAGCTGTGCAGCCTCGGCCCACGTGTGTGTTTAAAATATCCACTGTGTACAAACTGTACATTTCATGTTTTATCTTGTTCATTTCCTTTATTTTGTTTTCATAATGCACTGTGTCTGCAATGACATGCTGTTTCACAATACCACTTTGCCTTCATTTTGTCCTTCCCCATCAATTAAAGTGGACATCTCAAAGAATGTGTTGTTTATTTCCTGTTAATGCAGAGGTACTGTACAGCGATACCAGTTCAGAACATTCTAGATGTGTGTGAGCGCCTCTTACGCTTCCCCACCGAACTGGCCAATCAGCTGTTCCAGATCCCGACCCAGCACTTGAAAATGCTAATTGAGAGGTGTGTTATAATCATAAAAGATAAGACAAACATGACGCAAGATAAAGGTGTGGTCTGAATCCATGGACAATACACTGTAGTTTATGAACATGCACATTTCTGAGAATTAACCTTTCCATTATCCATTAGAATTCCTGAAGATTTCAACACTTCATTCTCAAATGTTCCCTCTCCAGCTGGCCTTAAAGATTGAGTGTAAATAGTGTTAGTTTAAAGACAGAGTTGGGTCTTATCACTTCCAATCTCACCATACTTACTTCACTCCCTCCACAAATAATGTACACACCCCTCAGCAAAGGTCAGTCTCTCAGAAACTCCTGACGATTTTCTCTGTCTTCTTGGCCTCGTTGTTGAGCTCCCCGAAGGTGTCAAAGAACTGCTCCATCTCCCTCTGCAGGGCTGCGTTGCGAAGGTCTGCTGCAGCCCGGCCCCTCTCTGACTCCAAGATCTTAGCCTGGACCACAGAGTACCACCGCCTCTGCTGAGCCAGGTTAGCCCTCAGGTCAAACACCTCTCCCTGGAGAGCCTCGTTCCTCTCTTCCAGACTGTGAGAGAGGGGGGGGACAGAGGAGAGAGAGGTTAGGAAGATAGGAGTGGGGGAGGAGGAGGGACACAGTAACTGCTGAGCCAGGTTAGCCCTCCGGTCAAACCAGTAACTACTGAGCCAGGTTAGCCCTCCGGTCAAACCAGTAACTGCTGAGCCAGGTTAGCCCTCCGGTCAAACCAGTAACTGCTGAGCCAGGTTAGCCCTCCGGTCAAACCAGTAACTACTGAGCTAGGTTAGCCCTCCGGTTAAACCAGTAACTGCTGAGCCAGGTTAGCCCTCCGGTCAAACCAGTAACTGCTGAGCCAGGTTAGCCCTCAGGTTAAACCAGTAACTGCTGAGCCAGGTTAGCCCTCAGGTCAAACCAGTAACTGCTGAGCCAGGTTAGCCCTCAGGTTAAACCAGTAACTGCTGAGCCAGGTTAGCCCTCAGGTCAAACCAGTAACTGCTGAGCCAGGTTAGCCCTCAGGTCAAACACCTCTCCTTGTAGCACCTCGTTCCTCTGTTCCAAACTGTTAGTGAGAATCTCAATTGCGTCCTCTCGCCTCTTTCTCAAAATGAGGAGGCGAGGAGAGCGGACATGAGGAATCAGGGAGAATCTCAATTGCATTTCCTTAAGTGTTAGAAGGAGAGAGTGGAAAGGGTAAGGAAGAGAGAGAGGTCCTGAGCCAACACCTCGATCAAGTACCCTTTGGGGGCATCCATCGTAGGTTAGGGTTAAGGACGGTGAATTAGCCTATGTGACAGTCAGACATCATTGTTCCTGTGTGCTGTATGCTCCTAATTTTAGTTGCATGGCCAGTCAGGATGCCTGGTGAGATTGAGACTGTCTGTCTATATCAGTAGTAGTGAGATATGTGTTAGTGTCTAGGTTAGCACAGACCCTTTAAATAGCTCTCTTTCCATCCACCACTACACAGCCTCTATAAGACAGTCATGGCAGCATTGTGTTTTTAAGCATAATATTACTTAACCTGAGGAAAACAACTTCATGAAGTGTGTAATTGTGTGGTTTTTGAATTCATACTGGTGTTGTTTTTTCATATGCCACTCATGACATTCATTCCTTGTGTTCGTACTAATGTCATGTCGAATCAATATAAAAGAAAAGGCAGTGTTTGTGGAATAATGGGGGGGGGGGGACATGGGAAACAGCAGAGTGGACACACGCATCTGGATAGAAAACCTTTGCAACTCCTCCTTATCACTGAAAGTACACAGAGAAATCACGTCAGTCCAAAAGCAAGCCAAAATGTGTGTGTCACCATGGATGATGATGTAAAGTTCTTACCTGTGTATGCGTTCCTCATACTCCTCTCTCTGCCTTGCTATCTGCTGCTGGAGGCTGGTGAGGAGGCTGCGGAGGGCGCTGGCTGAGGGGTCTGCCACGGGCAGGGGAGGGGGAACCCGGGCCCCAGGTACAAGGATAGAACCAGCCTGCTGGAGAGGCTCTTCTGGATGGGTGGCAGAAGCCTGTGGAGGTGGGACCAGGGGCTGGAGATGGGAGAAGTTATCTGGTCGATGGGGTTGTGGTTGGATCATTGGCTGGAGTTGGAACATGGGCTCTTCCTGGTCCTGGTTAAAGTCCAGTTCTGGTTCTGGGTCCTGGTCTTGGTACTGGTCTGGTCCATTGCTGGCGCTGCTCCCTGCTAGGAGGATTTCACAGGAAGACCAGGAGCTGCTCTCCCCACTGACCCCTCCGTCATCCATCAGCACCGAGACCGGCACCGGGATCCTCAGGAAGCGCTGGGGCGTGGGGAAGGTCACGGTGGTTTCCATGGCAGCGTCCTCAGCGGGGGTCACGGCGTGGAGGTTGTCGTAGACGGAGAGAGCGCTCTCGTGTGTGTCTCCGTCGCTGTGGCTCGGGCTGGGGCTCTGCTGCTGCCGAACGCTCTCCACCTCCCGCGCTCCCTTATTCCCTCCTCCTCCTCTCTCTCCTCCTCTCTCTGCTCTGTTTGTCCCCATGTCCCAACCCTGCCTTCCCAGGCCTACCCAGCTGCAGCGACTGTGAGCTGGCAGCACGCCAGTCCCTCTCCCCCCTCCTCTCCCGTCTCTCCCCCATCCCAGTGTGGGAACCACAGCTGCAGCTGGGGCCAGGCCAGGGGGGGAGGGGGGGTGAAGGATTCCGGTTACAGCAGGGTTGCAAAGTCCCCCCCTTTCCCTCTTTCTCTCCTTCTCCATCTCCCTAAACCCTCTATCCCTTCCTCTCCCGGCATGGGGTAGACAGTTGTCGTAAAGGGGGTCGGTGGAGCAGGAGCTGGCTGTGGTGGGGGATTCGGTGGGCAGGCAGGGCAGCTCCATGTCACAACCTCACCCAGGGGGGTCCGGCACGGTGAGGGGGGGTGCTGACGGTCCGAGGGGTGCAGTAGTGACACCCTGCTCTGCTGTCAGTTGAGTCAAGGAGAGGTCTGAAGTCTGGTTGTAAGTCTGTCTGGAGGTGTAAGGGAGGGTCCCTGCTGGCTGTCCCCTGGAAGGAGTGCCGTGTCCTTGGGAGGGAAGTGTGTGTAGGACCCCCTGCCTGGTTCTCCTCGGTGTCCTTGACGCGGCTGGTGGCCGGCAGGTAGCAGGAGTACTGTGGGCGTCTGAGGAAAGGACTGCAGCTCTCACTCAGCAGCTGTGTGGAATAGTGTAATGTGTGTGTGTGTGTGTGTGTGTGTGTGTGTGTGCGTGTTTGTGTCTTTAAGCAGCCCTAACTTCAGCTGTTGCACCATCATAGCTCCTGAGGGAGTGACCAGAGTGTAACTCAGCCTGGCTCATTCCTGAAGACACACACATTCAGAACTAGCTACAACCACAAAAATAGATACTGTATGCGGGCACCTACACACACACACACACACTGCAATAAACCCCCCGACACCAGAGAGGAATGAAAGTGGTTGCCAGGCAATGCTTCCTGATTGGAGCATACAGGGTTAGACACTCCCCTTTACTGGGGTACAATGGCACAAATGCTGGCACACTTCTGGTTTGACTTACATGTCAACGTGTCAACTGACACTCAGATCCCCTTTCCCCTTCCTCTCACTCACTCTCTATCTCAGTCGATCTGTTTCTACTTCCCTGTTTATCTCTCTCTATCCCCTCCCCCTTTCTCTCTCCCACACTCTATTGGTTTATGGCACCTGTCCATGCTAATGCTGTGGGATGCAGTGAACCAAGTGTCAGGCCAATTTAACAGTGTGAGGAGAGTGATGGTGGTTAGTCACCCCACAGTTTAGGCCAGACCATTCGGCTGATCTATGGAGGGTAATCAGAACCAGTGGACGGCTGCCAACCTACCGTACAGGAAACTAATCATACAGTCTGTCACAACTCCTAGACTATAGCTTTTACCCTGAGTACACAGAGAGAGGGAATTTAGACTGAGAGGTTGGCTTACTGTATAGTGAAAAGGTGATAAGAAGAAGAGGTTAGGTTAGCGATGAGAGAAGAGAGAGCTGATCAGAGAGAAGAGAAGAGAGAGAGTAGCGATAGAGAGAAGAGAGATAGAGAGCGATATATAGAGAGAGTATAGATGCTGCGTATCTCGACGCTCTGCTGCGCCCTATCGCTATTCCTCTTCTCTCGCGTACCTCTCTCTCTTTCCGCCTTCTTCTCGAGTATCGAGCGGAGGGCGGGTCTTATGAGTCACTTAAACATTGGCAAAGAGAAACATTTAATTACAACTGAAAGCTTTTAGTACAGTTTGTATTAATGCACCTTACTCACTTCCGGCTAGAGAGCTGAGTTCTGGAGGTAAGCCATAGCCACCTACACACATATGCACACACACACACACACACAGATGTTGCCATGGAACATTTGACCACCAGATGGGGCTATTAGCTATTTTATATGGAAAGTGTGTTTTCAATGGGTTGCGCACCTTGTCATCAGCAAAAATGTAACAGGCAGGAATTGCTTCCATCATCTTCCAAACCTAATCTGAATTCCAGTATCCTTTTGTTAGCACTGTACATGAAATGTAGGTACTCGTTTTGTTTATCTTTTTAAGGCATGGTTGATAGCTCTTTGTCCTTCGTAGGACAAGCAGGGTCATATCAGGACACATTCTCTCTTTAACCACCAGCTTCTCCCTTTGCCTCTGATTTAGGATTAAAATGCATTTAGACCATGTTTGAACTTCACAGTAAATGGTTTCCAGCATCACACTGAGATCACATCACAGCTATTGATCCAGTATTGATCAGTGATCCAGCGTTAGATCCTCCTCTGCTTCAGCTGCAGGGTGGGGTCAACCCAGTCTTTATCTGGGACACTGAGCCTAGATCACAGGAAACAGCCATATAATGGATCAATATTTCCCCTTAACTCACCTCAGCTCAACTCAGGTCAGCTGCAATGATCAGATCATTTGCAGTGCAGTAGGGGGATGAATCATTGGGTTGACTAGAATGCTTTATAGGATTAGGACTTTGGAATAGATCTGCAAGGTTCTGGAATAGATCTGCAAATTCCCTCTCTCTGTGTAGTGAGTGGCGCAGTGGTCTAAGGCACTGCATCGCAGTGCTAACTGTGCCACTAGAGATCCTGGTTCGAATCCAGGCTCTGTCGCAGCCGGCCGCGACCGGGAGACTCATGGGCGGCGCACAATTGGCCCAGCGTCGTCCAGGGTAGGGGAGGGAATGGCCGGCAGGGATGTAGCTCAGTTGATAGAGCATGGCGTTTGCAACGCCAGGGTTGTGGGTTTGATTCCCACGGGGGGCCAGTATAAAAAAAAAAAGAAAAAAAAAAGGTATTCACTAACTGTAAGTCGCTCTGGATAAGAGCGTCTGCTAAATGACTAAAATGTAAATGTAAAATGTTCTATCGATGTGGCCATGGGATAGACGGGGATCTACTTTGGAATCTCCTCAGTAACTTAGTCAGCTTGTGTTGCTCTTTGGACTTATCTGTCATATGTAAATCACCCTTTGCCCTTCAAGCCTGCACATCGAAGCATAGTCTTCAGTCACTTCAGTTACTGTAGAAAAACAGAGAGGATACATGCTGGTCTTTGTGGCTCAGCTGAGTCCAGCAAAGCACATAGCCCTATCCAAGGTTCTGAACTGGCCTGTCTCTTAGAGACCAGCGACTTCAGAAGGAGATGTGCAGCTAGAATGACAGAAATGTTCATCTTCACCCTTCTGATGTTACAGTTGACCTTCCAGTGTCTTTTAAACTACATTTTTAAAGCTGACCTCTCTTCTTTATCCTCTTAATCAAAGGCCAGTGACTTTATGAAGATGGAAAGTTCAGCCCTGCAGAGGTTAACCTCTCTCCGAGGCCCTCAAGCACTTCCTCACCCCCTCCTCCTGCTCCTTACATCTATGCAGTTGTTTGTAGCCATGACGACTAAGGGGCCTCCATGGCAACTCGGATCCTCGTGTTTTAAATAATAAAGCGTCAGGGTGGTGGTGGGGGTGAGGGGAGAGCTCAGTGGTTAGTGCAGACTGTAGCTTGATGGAGTGTAATTGAGCAGGACCCTTGTTAGCATGGGAGCAGGCCCTGTTAACACAAGAGGCCTGCGAGGGAGAGGGGAGATGTGTACTGTAAGAGCTGTCTGGACATCTTTCTACTGAATAGCATATAGAGAAGAACCATACTGCAACTAGGAGAACCATATGAGGTGATGTACTGCAGCTGTAGCTCCTTCCACAGGATAGAGAGAGAGAGAGAGAAAGGCAGAAAGAGTGAGTGAGTGAGCGTGTGTGACTGAAGAGAGAAGGTGAGCAACGCAGTGAGAGAGACTTCCCCCAACCCTCCACCTCCTCTCCTGTTTCCTCTTCCGCCTGTTTACCCTGTTGTGCTGTTCTGTATTGTGGGAGCAGCAGATTCCATTCCAATTCACCCCGTTCTGTTTACTCATGTTATATTAAACCCTTCTGTCCATTGAAGATTCCTCTGAATACTTCTCATCCTAGAAATGAAAGCGCAACAGGGTTTTCAGGCTGCGTCCTTTGATGTCAGAAATTTGGCCTTCTATTTTTTTATTCACAAGGCTTTTAGACTTCTAGGTAGAGAGGCATATCACCAATATCAGTCAGCCATAGAGCGTCAACCTATAATACCATCTTTATGAAGTGTTATTTGTTACTGTTATCAATATGCCTCTGTGCCAAACCATATCCGCTCTGTTTCTGTTTACTGTCATCCAAACCTTATCGAGTGTGTTTATTACCAAAAACAAAAATAGCATCCTTCATTCTCCACACAGGATTATCCCTCAGAACAAGACTCTCTGTCAGAACACTGGCATGAATACACACACATACCCCCCCCCCCCCCCCCCCCCACACACACACACAAGGGATGTGATATATCCATTGTAGATTATATGAGTTATGCATCCCCATGTGTGGGTAGCTGTTTATTATCACGCCTTAATTAGATTAACAGCCAGATTCAACACTGCTTTTAGATACATCCGTAGGTGTCTCTCCAGTATGACATCAATAAACCATGTATTTCTGTGTCTCTTTGCATTTAGATTTGATGGGTATTTCATTATTTCCTCTTGAGATTATAGCATTCCTTTGTCCTAATGTAAAAAGGTATTTTTTTATATATATTTATTTTAGTTATGTTTTTTTTTCAAGTTATAAAACATGCATCTGACAGCATAGTGACAGATATGGCCGTGTTACCATGGGAACATCTTCTTTTATAAAGAATATGATTGGAGATTGGGGAATAGAGAAATTCCGACATGGTGCTTTAAGCGAATGTAATCTGTATTCCTGACAGGTTTGACATTTTACTCAAATTACCACATCACTGAACATGACTGAATGAGAGGTTCATCTTATATAAGAAAGAGAGAGGAGAAAATTGAATTCCTATAGCTGGAATTCCCAGGGCCCGATAATTATAATTTTTATATAAAAAATGCATTTCATGTAATTCTACATCATTTACATGATAGAAGGCATTAGCTGAATCTCTTTTAATACCACACAAATGTCCGAAATGAGTGGCGACTCTGACACTGACAAACTGAGATCAATCTTCTCTTGAATTCAAACAAACAATAGCCCAGGCCAATGAAGCGACGCACAGATTGTACTATTTTAGGAGGCAATATATATACACAGTGCATTCGGAAACTATTCAGACCACTTTACTTTTTCCACATTTTGTTATGTTACAGCCTTATTCTAAAATGGATTAAATTGTTTTGTTTTTCCTCATCAATCTACACACAATACCCCATAATGACGAAGCAAAAACTGTTTTTTAGACATTTTTGCAAATGTATTAAAAATAATAAACTGAAATATCACATTTACATACAGAACCAGTCAAAAGTTTGGACACAT